ATCCCTCTGGTAAAAAAGTGTGTATTTTTTCAGATGATTATCCAGCGACAACTACCGGAAGTGTTGTATAGACTGCAATTTATTAAGGATTTCTAGAACCCTGTCACTGCCTCTTGCTCGGAGTGCCTAGTCGGAGGCAACAGCTGTGGTCAGTGCGATTTCAAAGGTGCCTTGGCCTGTGAAAAAGAAGACGGCAATCCGAGCACATAGTTTACTGTAAAGAAATTTTGTTATATGCAATTATCGTTTCAGACACCGAGATCGACCAGTAGTTATTAGTGTCCCTTTTGAGTTTTTCTTGTAGCCACTTGTGTGCTGCGATGCAGTATTGACAAGAGGTGTCAAATAGGCCAGTTCTTGAACACACGCCCTTAGCATATGTGAACTAATATCCTCCTGCCTCTTTAGTATCCAGAACCAGATGAATCTTGGTGACGTTGTATCTGCGGAAATGTTGGAGAGGTTTCTTGACACGTTGGTTTCATAGAAGAGGGTGCTCTCTGGGGTCAATAACTTGCAGTATAATACTAAATGATCCCCAAGAACTTTTGCATTTGCAAGTTAATGAAGACTGTGATTCAACAGTTTGCGTTTGGTTTTATCTTCACCATTCATGTAAGCAACAATCTTCTTGCAGACTCTTTTAGCGAGGGTTCTATTGTGCCTCATATGATGTTTTTATATGTATTTACGTAAGCTATTTGATGGAATCCTGCGTTTATGACTAAACTGCAGTTCATGAGTGGGTTTTGAAATAAAAGTTAAAACACGTATTGTGCAGGTTATCTACGTCAGGCTTTCACACCTTTTCATCACAACGGTGTCCCTTCCCCCTTACCCTCTGACTCACTCACTCACTCACTGTTCCTCTGCATTTGGCAAAGTGGTCGCAGATCCCGCTCTGCTTAGTGAAGAACAGCTCTTGCGGTCTTGTATCCTATGCTGGCGTGGGAGGCGTTGAAACCGGCGAAGCGACACGAAGCAAGCGCGGACCTGACACGCAATATTTATTTAGACTACAGTGCAAATGATTCGACGCTTGGTAGCATGGCCGACTTTAATGGCGTTTCGATGGCGTGTTTTTGCTTAATGAATATCTATCCTGCTCGGCCACTACTATGCACCACGTCCCTGAGTTTGCGGTCCTCACTGTCCCCAAGCGTCCTCGTAGTTCTTATCAAGGTCTAACCTTGGCTCTTGCCTCGTCAGCGTGCACGTCAGCAGTTGCATTTGAGGCTGTTCTGTCTCTTTTGAGGAGGGGTACTGGTAAACCGTGGATAGGAGATAAATATATATATATATATATATATATATATATATATATATATATATATATATATATATATATATATATATATATATATATATATATTATATTATATATATTATATTATATTATATTATTATATAATATATATATATATATATATATATAATATATATATAAATATATATAATATATATAATTATATATATATATATATATATATATATATATATATATATATATATATATATATATATATATCTAGTCTCTTCTGTCTGTCTCTGTCTGTCCTTCTCTCTCTCTCTCTCTCTCTCTCTCTCTCTCTCTCTCTCTCTCTCTCTCTCTCTCTCTCTCTCTCTCTCTCTCTCTCTCTCTCTCTCCTCCCTTCCTTCCTTCTCTCCTTTCTTCTTCCTTCCTTTCCTTCCTTCCTTCCTTCCTTCCTTCCTCCCTTCCTCTCTTCCTCCCCCCTCCCTCCCTCCCTCCCCCTCTCTCTCTCCATCTCTCCCCCTCTCCCTTTCTTCCTCTCTTTCTCCATCCTCCCTTCCCCCGTCTCTCCTCGCTCCTCCTCCCCCTCTCTCCTCCCTCTCTCCTCTCCCTTTCTCCACTCTTTCTCTCTCTCTTTCTCTCTCCCCTCTCCTCTCCCAATCCCTCTCCTTCCCCCCTCCCTTTCTCTCTCTATATCTATCTATCTCTTTCTCTCGCTATTGCTCCTTTTCTTTTTCTTTCAATTGCTCCCTTCTCCCCTCTCAGTTATCTTTTTTCATTTAACCCTCAGTCTCATCTTCTTACTATACTTCTTACTTCTTATATTTCTCCTACACTTGTTTTATCTCAGTATATAGTTCATATTTTATCATTTCAGGACCAGAATGTCGCTGGAAGGTGAAATAAGCAGTGAGGTGCATGAGGATCTGGAGGATATCCCCTCTACTGAATGGGAAAAAAGTTTAGCAATTTCTCCTACAGCATTAAGTTGCATAAGTGCCCCATATGACGAAGATGTTGACCTAGGTGTCGGGGAAGTTCAAGAATTTGTAAATGAGAGTGATAATAAAGAGAAGAGGAGGAAGAAGTCACATCACAGGAGATTTACTGTTCCTGTTGTAACAGCAGATATGCAGGAAGTTGTAGCTAGTCAGAGTGAAGACATTAGAATGGATACTAAGGCCGAGATGTTTGCTGAGACATTGCAAGTTCCAATGGCTCAGAAGCTTTTGCACTTGAAGTACGATG